ATTTGCACTAACATTTTGTTTTTTTTAAAGTTTCTAAAATAATGTTGTTTCTTGATCCGGTAGAACTTGTATACACATTGCATTCACTCCGACAAGTTGTATGTATTTCAACATCTCAAAAGAGGAGAAAGAAGCCACAGCAAGGATTTGTGGGTAACAGAAATGGCATTTTCATTTGTCAACATATTCACCCAATAAATGACTGGGAGGTTATACATATGGAGACTCTTGTTTTTATAGCTTAAAAATTGTAAAAACAGATATTCTGATAATACAACCAATCAAATCAAAATGAGAGAGCAGTGGGCGGGCTAATGAAGAACTACAACCAATTAAAAAATGTTTGACTTGATAATAGAACCTTAGGAAATGAAGGAAATGAAATGAAAGGAGTGAGTAAAAAGGAAAAGGCTCTTAGACGTCCTGCTCTTTCTGACCCCTGGAGCTCAACAAAATCAGGCTGGTCACAGATCCGTTTGTGCTCTTGCCAACTCCATTAATGTCCTTGTCAAGCCGAGTGCCAAATGAGTGACAAGGAGTTGGTATGATAGCACACACGGACTGGGTACTCAGGCTAGGACAAAATGACAAGTGGATAAAATGTTAAGACTGACACAGAAAAGTCTCTAGTATAACAGACTCCTACCACGAGGTAAAACAAAGGTCGTCTAACGACAATACATCAAGAAAAAAAAACACAAAATGAGATTCATCATCGCATTACATCAACCACCAACGCTGCTCGAAGATGATTGGCTAGAGTGTGAGTGACTACTGAGGGTGCTGGGACACCTGGAACCTGATGATGATGATGATGATGATGATGATGATGATTCTTCATCGCAGTAAACTGGTATTTTAGAATGCGTCCCAAATGGCACCCTATTCCCTATATAGTGCACTACGTTTGACCAGGGCCCATTGGTAGGGCTCTGGTAAGAAAATAAAAGTAGTGCACTACATAGGGAATAGGGTGCCATTTGGGCCACAGATATATATACTCTTATAAATCAGTTGCAGTCTGACTACATACAGAGCTGTAGCCAACAGACATAACCACCACTTTGGATAAATATAAAACCTCATCCTTCTCCGACAACATAAATATGAACAAATACAATCTATTGGGAAAAAAAACTAAAAAAACAAGCAACATTCGGTTTTTTGCGAAACTCAAATATACACACACACACGCAACATAATAAAATCTAAACCTATACATTCTCATTACTTCCTCAAAGACAATCTAAAACCAAAACAGTTGAATATATTGGTGGTAATAGTAGGTGTATATAAGGAGAGGTTTTGTCCAGCTTTTACCCACTAACACTGAACTCTGAACTCTGAGCTCCCGGCACACGCATTCATACACACGTGGTCGTCTACGCAGTTTTCCTCACGCACAAACAGAGCTGCTAAGAGACTCATTTCAATGATGTCAGTAAATCCTTCAGAGCTCAAATAAATGTATTGTTTCATCAGTAAGGACAAACAAGACTGGATTGGAAAGAGAGGAGGAGGGTAGTAGTGGTATTGGAGAGAAAACAGAGAGTAAGTAGTAGTAGTAGTAGTAGTAGTAGTAGTAGTAGTAGCAGTAGTAGTAGTAGTAGTAGTAGCAGTAGTAGTCAGTAGTAGTAGTAGTAGCAGGGTAATAGTAGTAGTAGTAGTAGTAAGCATACAGTGTAGTAGTAGTAGTAGTAGTAGTAGTAAGTAGTATAGTAGTAGTAGATAGCAGTAGTAAGTAGTAGCAGTAGTAGTAGAGTAGTAGTAGTAGTAGTAGTAGTAGTAGTAGTAGTACAGCAAAGTAAGTGAGTAGTAGTATAGTAGTAGTAGTAAGATAGTAGTACATTAGTAGTAGTATAGTAGTAAAACAGAGTAGTAGTAGTAGTAGTAGTAGTAGTTAGTAGTAGTAGTAGTCAGTAGTAGTAGTAGTAGCAGTAGCAGTAGTAGTAAGTACAGAACATAGGGTAGTAGTAGTAGATGTAGTAGTAGTAGTAGTATGTAGTAGATAGTAGTAGTAGTATCAGTAGCAGTAGTATTGGAGAAGTGAGGAGGAGGACGATGAAGAGGAAGGGAAAGTATCCAAGTGTTGACATTGAGTTAAATGGGGATATTGTTCTTCGAGAAATTAATGGAAATAATTCTGGCTTAAAGACACTGTTCATATTATACAGCAGGGATCATCAACTAGATTCAGCCGCGGGCAGATTTCTTTCTTGAGCGGATGGTCAGGGTGCCGGAACATAATTACAAATCATTTGTACAGATATAATAATTGACTAAATACATAATCATTTCAAACCTTGGTTACATTTGTATACGATCACATGTCAACCGGCAGTTGGGGAACCCTGCTATACTGTCTCCACGGTAACAGTCTAGGTAGGCCTCGGTGTAATCACCGTTTACCCATCCTCATAGTGTGGTCCCCTGCTTCCTTTTCCATCGAGTCACATGCTTCTCATATTTCACAAGTCTTATGGAAACTATGATCAAAACTACTAGGAACGACGCAACAAAAGGAAAACAAAATCTGAAAGCAGTGCAAGTGTTTTAGCCCAAGAGCAGAATACCACGTGCCTTTTATCAGTACATGGTTAGGGAGGCAATGATTCACACCGTCTACAGTACACAACGATAAACTAAATCAACGTTCTTTGTGGGGTTTTCTGTACTAAGAGAACCTGTTGACATGTAAGTCGCTCTGGATAAGAGCGTCTGCTAAATGACTAAAATGTTTTAAATAATGTAAATGGTAGCTGAGGACCTAATGGACCATGGCAAGTTGCAACACATATCTTTGTTGCTGCCCGAGGAAGGGAACAGGGTCAAAACATCTACAGCAGTCGAATCACGGTCCAAACAGAAATGGTAGAATATGGCTCAGAACTCAGGAAGAATAAATCGGGGTCCACTTCCCTAAATTTGAAGTCGATCAAGTTGATCGAGCCACTGAGGAAAAGGAAATGTGACTGTTAGTAAAGGGTCTCCAAACGGTCAAAAAAATATTCACTTAACAAAAATATAAAAAAGGCAACATGTAAAGTGTTGGTCCCATGTTTCATGAGCTGAAATAAAAGATCCCCGGACATTTTCCATAAACACAAAAAGCTTATTTCTCTCGAATGTTGTGCACAAATGTGTTTACATCCCTGTTAGTGAGCATTTCTCGTTTGCCAAGATAAACCATCCACCTGACAGGTGTGGCATATCAAGAAGCTGATTAAACAGCATGATCATTGGCTGGGGCCAATAAAAGGCCACTCCAAAATGTGCAGTTTTGTCACACAACCCAATGCCACAGATGTCTCAAGTTTTGAGGGAGCGTGCAATTGGGATGCTGACTGCAGGAATGTCCACCAGAGCTGTTGTCAGATAATTGAATGTTCAATTCTCTACCATAAGCCGCCTCTGTCGTTTTAGAGAATTTGGCAGTACATCCAACCGGCCTCACAACCGCAGACCACGTTTATGGCGTCGTGTGGGCGAGGGGTTTGCTGATGTCAACGTTGTGAACAGAGTGCCCCATGGTGGGTAGTGGGGTTATGGCACGGGCAGGCATAAGATACGGACAACAAACACAGTAGCATTTTAACGATGGCAATTTGAATGTAGAGAAATACTGTGACGAGATCCTGAGGCCCATTTTTTATACAGGTATCTGTTATGCATATCTGTATTCCCAGTCATGTGAAATCCATAGATTAGGGCCTAATTTATTTATTTCATGTTTTTACATTTTAGTCATTTTAGCAGATGCTCTTATCCAGAGCGACTTACAGTTAGTGAGTGCATACATTTTCATACTGGCCCCACGTGGGAAACGAACCCACAACCCTGGCGTTGCAAGCGCCATGCTCTACCAACTGAGCTACAGGGGACATATGAACTGTAACTCAGAAGAATCTTTGAAATTGTTTCATGTTGCGTTTATATTTTTGTTCATTATATATATGTCAAAGTTAATGTAATGTCCATAATGTAATGTATGTCCAGGAAAAGCATCAACACCCAAGTCACCCTCTACTCCTCTCCCTACCGCACTGAGAATTACCTAGTTAAAGCTCAGGAAACGACCTAGTTAAAGTCCTAGCTCAGAAAACTACCTAGCAGAGCATTATGACATCATATTCCCCCTCTCTGGTGGATGGAGAGGCTGGTGGATAGAGGAGATGGAGAGGCTGGTGGATAGAGGAGATGGAGAGGCTGGTGGATAGAGAGGAGATGGAGAGGCTGGTGGATAGAGGAGATGGAGAGGCTGGTGGATAGAGGAGATGGAGAGGCTGGTGGATAGAGAGGAGATGGAGAGGCTGGTGGATAGAGAGGAGATGGAGAGGCTGGTGGATAGAGAGGAGATGGAGAGGCTGGTGGATAGAGAGGAGATGGAGAGGCTGGTGGATAGAGGAGATGGAGAGGCTGGTGGATAGAGGAGATGGAGAGGCTGGTGGATAGAGGAGATGGAGAGGCTGGTGGATAGAGAGGAGATGGAGAGGCTGGTGGATAGAGAGGAGATGGAGAGGCTGGTGGATAGAGAGGAGATGGAGAGGCTGGTGGATAGAGAGGAGATGGAGAGGCTGGTGGATAGAGGAGATGGAGAGGCTGGTGGATAGAGGAGATGGAGAGGCTGGTGGATAGAGGAGATGGAGAGGCTGGTGGATAGAGGAGATGGAGAGGCTGGTGGATAGAGGAGATGGAGAGGCTGGTGGATAGAGGAGATGGAGAGGCTGGTGGATAGAGAGGAGATGGAGAGGCTGGTGGATAGAGGAGATGGAGAGGCTGGTGGATAGAGGTGCTGGTGGGAATTATGTCAGAGTGAAATGGGGTGTTGTTGATAATACCAGGCTAATATTTCAAGTTGCAGTCAAAGTAACAGAAACCTTCTCTCTGGCAGGACCGAGTCGTGTAGGGGTACGGGGGGGGGTGTAGGGGGGTTAGGGGTATAGGTAGGGGTACAGGGGGGGTGTAGGGGGGTTAGGGGTATAGGTAGGGGTACGGGGGGTTTAGTTGTATCCAGTGTCGGTCCGGTAGCTGGAGTGGCTGTCTGACGTCAGCCTGGTGGTCTCTGTTCCGGACGGCTGCACCATGATGGGGTCACCACCAACGTCTGGGGGAACAACACACACACACACACACACACACACACACGTTACCAATCGAAATAACTGTGTGACAGGCAGGAAGCGTTAACTGCATGACCAACCCACAGGCCCAGGTTGCAGGGGACGGACCAGAGTTCATCTGTTCTAATGTACAGTTCCCTTGCCTGCCTGGGATCAAATCCCCTCTATCGGTCTTCCCTTCATTCAACCAAGTGAAAATCCACTCTACTTAAAGGACTAGTGCAGTCAAAAACGTGATTTTCCTGTGTTTTATATATATTTCCACACTGAGGTTGGAATAATACTGTGAAATGGTGAAAATGCCATTTTAGTGTAAGAGCTGTTTGAAAAGACTGACTGAGATTTCAGCTTGTTTTGGTAGGATGGAGATTTGGCCTGCCTGGTGACATCACCAGGTGGTAAATTAGTTAATAGACCAATAAGAAAAAGAGTTCCAAACCTCTCTGCCAATAACAGCTAATTTTCAGTTTTCCCCTCCCCACTCAGACCACTCCCAGACAGTACTAGCAAAAGTCTTGCTTGAGAAATGTATCTTTGCTAAGAAGCTATTTTTGTTGATTTTTGACCATTTTAATAGAAAACAATCACAGTAGGGTACTTTCATTGTTACCCTGAAATTCTTTGATTTAAACAAAGGCCTCTGTAACAGTCTCTCCATCTCTAGTTCTATTGATAATTGATTGGTTGATTAAGCTCTCTCATCTCTAGTTCTATTGGTTGATTAAGCTCTCTCATCTCTAGTTCTATTGGTTGATTAAGCTCTCTCACCTCTAGTTCTATTGGTTGATTAAGCTCTCTCACCTCTAGTTCTATTGGTTGATTAAGCTCTCTCATCTCTAGTTCTATTGGTTGATTAAGCTCTCTCACCTCTAGTTCTATTGGTTGATTAAGCTCTCTCACCTCTAGTTCTATTGGTTGATTAAGCTCTCTCACCTCTAGTTCTATTGGTTGATTAAGCTCTCTCACCTCTAGTTCTATTGGTTGATTAAGCTCTCTCACCTCTAGTTCTATTGGTTGATTAAGCTCTCACCACTCATCTCTAGTTCTATTGATTGATTGGTTGGTTGATTGATTGATTGATTAAACTCCTCACCTCTCTCGTCAGACTGCATCTGTGCCTCCAGGTCTTCAGGGGAGACGTAGAACTCTGGTTCCTGGTCCATGGGCGGCCGTGGTTTACACTTCCCACAGCAGCAGTTACAGCAGCAACACAAACAACAGCAGAAGTAGCAGCCAGTCGCCAAGCCACAGAAGATGAACAGGCCCTGCAGACAGAGGAGACCGTCAGGGAGATGGAAGGAGGTAAGAGGTGGGAATCGAGAGGTGGGAGTCGAGAGGTGGGAGTCGAGAGGTGGGAGTCGAGAGGTGAGAGTCGAGAGGTGAGAGTCGAGAGGTGAGAGTCGAGAGGTGAGAGTCGAGAGGTGGGAGGAGGGAGTCGAGAGGTAAGAGGAGGGAGTCGAGAGGTGAGAGTCGAGAGGTGGGAGTCGAGAGGTGGGAGTCGAGAGGTGGGAGTCGAGAGGTGGGAGTCGAGAGGTGGGAGTCGAGAGGTGGGAGTCGAGAGGTAAGAGGTGGGAGTCGAGAGGTAAGACGAGGGAGTCGAGGTGAGAGTCGAGAGGAGGGAGTCGAGAGGTGGGAGGAGGGAGTCGAGAGGTGAGAGGTGGGAGTCGAGAGGTAGAGGTGAGAGTCGAGAGGTGAGAGTCGAGAGGTGGGAGTCGAGAGGTGGGAGTCGAGAGGTGGGAGTCGAGAGGTGGGAGTCGAGAGGTGGGAGTCGAGAGGTGGGAGTCGAGAGTCGGGAGTCGAGAGGTGGGAGTCGAGAGTCGAGAGGTGGGAGTCGAGAGTCGAGAGGTGGGAGTCGAGAGTCGAGAGGTGGGAGTCGAGAGTCGAGAGGTGGGAGTCGAGAGGCGAGAGGTGGGAGTCGAGAGGTGGGAGTCGAGAGGTGGGAGTCGAGAGGTAAGAGGAGGGAGTCGAGAGGTAAGAGGAGGGAGTCGAGGTGAGAGTCGAGAGGTGGGAGTCGAGAGGTGGGAGTCGAGAGGTGGGAGTCGAGAGTCGGGAGTCGAGAGGTGAGAGGTGGGAGTCGAGAGGTGGGAGTCGAGAGGTGAGAGGTGGGAGTCGAGAGGTGAGAGGTGGGAGTCGAGAGGTAAGAGGTGGGAGTCGAGAGGTAAGAGGTGGGAGTCGAGAGGTAAGAGGTGGGAGTCGAGAGGTGGGAGTCGAGAGGTGTGAGTCGAGAGGTGTGAGTCGAGAGGTGTGAGTCGAGAGGTGAGAGGTGGGAGTCGAGAGGTAAGAGGTGGGAGTCGAGAGGTAAGAGGAGGGAGTCGAGAGGTGGGAGTCGAGAGGTGGGAGTCGAGAGGTCGAGAGGTGAGAGTCGAGAGTCGAGAGGTGAGAGGAGGGAGTCGAGAGGAGGGAGTCGAGAGGTAAGAGGAGGGAGTCGAGAGGTAAGAGGAGGGAGTCGAGAGGTAAGAGGAGGGAGTCGAGAGGTAAGAGGAGGGAGTCGAGAGGTGAGAGGAGGGAGTCGAGAGGTAAGAGGTGGGAGTCGAGAGGTGGGAGTCGAGAGGTGGGAGTCGAGAGGTAAGAGGTGAGAGTCGAGAGGTAAGAGGTGAGAGTCGAGAGGTAAGAGGTGAGAGTCGAGAGGTAAGAGGTGGGAATCGAGAGGTAAGAGGAGGGAGTCGAGAGGTAAGAGGTGAGAGTCGAGAGGTAAGAGGTGGGAATCGAGATCCATCACAACGCCACATCACTACATTTCCTGGGGACTCCATCATAACATTTACTGGGGACTCCATCATAACTCCACATCAGTACATGTACTGGGGACTCCATCATAACGGCACATCTATCTCTAAATGTAGGTGTTGACGTTCTCCTCTCCAAACACAACACACACACAGACGTGGTCTTACCTTAGCCCACCAGGAGGAGAGGACAAAGTAGGTGTTGACGTTCTCCTCTCCAAACTGTTCGGCCACATAGAGTCCCAGGGAGCCGTACTTATCATAGATGTTCCTCTTGGTACAGTCGTTCAGGATGGCGTGGGCGTTGTTGATCTCCTTAAACTTATCAGCAGCCTCGGGGTTGTCTGGGTTCTTGTCTGGGTGGAACTTCAGAGCCAGTTTCCTGATTGGACAGAGAACAGGAAGACGTTATGACTGGTGTGTGTGTGCCAAATATCCCCCCATTCTATAGTCCTAGAACCCTGATTTAACACCATCACTTCAGTCCTATCACATAAATTTACATTGAGTGTACAAAACATTAGGAACACCTTCCTAATATTGAGTTGCACCCCCTCTTGCCCTCAGAACAGCCTCAATTCGTCGGGGCATGGACTCTAGAAAGTGTTGAAAGCGTTCCACAGTGATGCTGGCCCATGTTGACTCCAATGCTTCCCACAGTCATGTCAAATTGGCTGGATGTCCTTTGGGTGACACAAACCGGTGCGCCAGGAACATTTTACATTTTAGTCATTTAGCAGACGCTCTTATCCAGAGCGACTTACAGTTAGTGAGTGCGTAAATTTTTCATACTGGCCCCCCCGTGGGAAACGAACCCACAACCCTGGCGTTGCAAGCGCCATGCTCTACCAAATGAGCTAAAGGGGGGCCTACTACCATACCCCATTCAAAGACACTTCAATCTTTTGTCTTGCCCATTTACCGGTGGTGGAAAAAGTACCCAATTTATCATACTTGAGTAAAAGTAAAGATACCTTAATAGAAAATGACTCAAGTAAAAGTGAAAGTCACCCGGTAAAATACTACTTGAGTAAAAGTCTAAAAGTATTTGGTTTTAAATATACTTAAGTATCAAAAGTAAATGTAATTGCTAAAATATAGTTAAGTAGTAAAAGTATAAATTCTTTCAAATTACTTATATTAAGCAAACCAGATGGCACCATTTTCTTGTTTTTAAAATGTTTATTTACGGATAGCCAGGGTCACACTCCAACACTCAGACATAATTTACAAACGAAGCATGTGTTTAGTGAGTCCGCCAGGTCAGAGGCAGTAGGGGTGACCAGGGATGTTCTCTTGATAAGTGTGTGAATTAGACGATTTTCCTATCCTGCTAAGCATTCGAAATGTAACGAGTACTTTTGGGTGTCAGGGAAAATGTATGGAGTAAAAAGTACATTGTTTTCTTTAGGAATGTAGTGAAGTAAAAGTTGTCAAAAATATTAATAGTAAAGTAAAGTACAGATACCCAAAAAAACTACTGAAGTAGTACTTTAAAGTATTTTTTACACCACTGCCATTTACCCCTTAAATGGCACATATACACAATCCATGTCTCAATTGTCTCAAGGCTTAAAAATCCTTCTTTAACCTGTCTCCTCCCCTTCATCTACACTGATTGAAGTGGATTTAACAAGTGACATCAATAAGGGATCATAGCTTTCACCTGGATCACTTGGTCAATATGTCATGGAAAGAGGAGGTGTTCCTAATGTTTTGTACACTCAGTGTAGTTCCGCAATAGCAGCACGCCACAGCTCTCTGTTGAACTCTAGTGGAACTCGTCTCACAGTGAACTATGTTAAAATAACATTGAGTATTTTTACATTTTAGTCATTTAGCAGACGCTCTTATCCAGAGCGACTTACAGTTAAGTGAGTGCATACATTATTTTTATTTTTCATACTGGCCCCCCGTGGGAATCGAACCCACAACCCTGGCGTTGCAAACGCCATTCTCTACCAACTGAGCTACATCCCTGCCGGCCATTCCCTCCCCTACCCTGGGCCAATTGTGAGCCGCCCCATGGGTCTCCCGGTCGCGGCCGGCTACGACAGAGCCTGGATTCGAACCAGGATCTCTAGTGGCACAGCTAGCACTGCCATGCAAATAAGTCCATTCTCTCTATGTTGTGTCCTGTGGCTAGTCCTGTAGGACTTGTTGATGTCCTCTGCCGTGGCTAGTGGTTCTGTGTAGTAACGGTGTGCTGTAATATGTTGTGTCCTGGTGTAGTGGTGTATATAGTTACCTGTACGATTTCTTGATGTCCTCTGGCGTGGCGTTCTTGTCGATCCCCAGGACCAGGTAGAGCGAGTCTCCTGACGTAGAGAGAGAACGCTGTCTCTGCGCCTCAGCTGCCATGACGACCACTCCTCTCTCTCTCTCTCTTTCTGTCTCTCACACTTCTCGCTCACAGCCTCACCAGTCTGAGAAAGAGGGAGAGAGAGGGGGAGAGAGAGAGCGAGAGGGGGAGAGAGCGCGAGAGGGGGAGAGAAACAGAAAGTCAGTGACAGAGATTCTAGAAATATCTATGACCAAGTAAAACATGACTCTACACTAGCAGGTGACAGACGGACGCCCAGACAGACTACACTAGCAGACGGACGCCCACAGACAGACTACACTAGCAGACGGACAGACCAACATTTATGATAAGACCTGGGTTTAAAATCCCTTAATCAACTCCTGTTTTTGGTCTGAGAGAAAGACGCAAAGTACATTCACCAACCTCCTGCAGAGGATACAGTCAGTCAGGAGTGTACAGACTACCAGGGCCCAAATTCATGAAGTGTCTCAGAGTAGGAGTGCTGATCTAGGATCCGTTTAGCCATTTTAGATCATCATTAATAAGATTACATGGAGAGGGTGGACTTGATCCTAGATCACTCTGAGAATGTTGATGAATATGGGCCCAGAAGATCAGGGGAAAAAAAGCATTCCTAATAAAGCTATGCTAATGTAGATATTATATAGCCCAGGGGTCTTAAACCTTTCCTTGACAACGGACCCCCAACACCCAGGTAAACTGGCGACCAAGGGACCCCATATGTTAGGATTATTTTTTTTTTCTTCACGTCTTGTCTTATCATCAGGTAAATGATAATGGCAAGGAGAAGTAATCAACATTTTAAAATGAATCGATTTGGTAGATAGTTCTTCATTATTTTGACCTCCCCACATTATAATTGGAAGAGGAAGGACCAAAAAATTGTCAAAGACTCCAGTCACCCAAGTCATAGACTGTTTGTTCTCTCTGCTACCGCACGGCAAGCGGTACCGATGCGCCAAGTCTAGGACCAAAAGGCTCCTTAACAGCTTCTACCCCACCAAGCCATAAGACTGCTGAACAATTAATAAAATGACCACCCAGACTATTTGCATTGACACCCCCCCCCTCTCCCTTTGTTTTTACACTGCTGCTACCCACTGTCTATTATCTATACATAGTCACTTTACCCCTACCTACATATACAAATTACCTCAACTAACCTGTACCCCCGCACATTGACTCGGTACCACCTGCATATAGCCTTGTTATTGTTGTTTTAATTGTGTTACTTTTGATAATTTTTTACTTTAGTTTATTTGGTAAATATTTTCTTAACTCTTTCTTGAAGTGCATTGTTGGTTAAGGGCTTGTAAGTAAGCATTTCACGTTAAGGTCTACACCTGTTGTATTCGGCGCATGTGTACCTACACCAGTAACTAGCTAACACCAGACACAGATGAAGACCTAGCTAGCCAGTAACTAGCTAACACCAGACACATGAAGACCTAGCTAGCCAGTAACTAGCTAACACCAGACAGATGGAGACCTAGCTAGCCAGTAACTAGCTAACACCAGACAGATGGAGACCTAGCTAGCCAGTAACTAGCTAACACCAGACACATGAAGACCTAGCTAGCCAGTAACTAGCTAACACCAGACACATGAAGACCTAGCTAGCCAGTAACTAGCTAACACCAGACAGATGGAGACCTAGCTAGCCAGTAACTAGCTAACACCAGACAGATGGAGACCTAGCTAGCCAGTAACTAGCTAACACCAGACAGATGAAGACCTAGCTAGCCAGTAACTAGCTAACACCAGACAGATGAAGACCTAGCTAGCCAGTAACTAGCTAACACCTGACACAGATGAAGACCTAGCTAGCCAGTAACTAGCTAACACCAGACAGATGAAGACCTAGCTAGCCAGTAACTAGCTAACACCAGACACATATGAAGACCTAGCTAGCCAGTAACTAGCTAACACCAGAGATGAAGACCTAGCTAGCCAGTAACTAGCTAACACCAGACACCGATGAAGACCTAGCTAGCCAGTAACTAGCTAACACCAGACAGATGGAGACCTAGCTAGCCAGTAACTGGCTAACACCAGACACCGATGAAGACCTAGCTAGCCAGTAACTAGCTAACACCAGACACAGATGAAGACCTAGCTAGCCAGTAACTAGCTAACACCAGACACCGATGAAGACCTAGCTAGCCAGTAACTAGCTAACACCAGACAGATGAAGACCTAGCTAGCCAGTAACTAGCTAACACCAGACACATGAAGACCTAGCTAGCCAGTAACTAGCTAACACCAGACAGATGAAGACCTAGCTAGCCAGTAACTAGCTAACACCAGACAGATGAAGACCTAGCTAGCCAGTAACTAGCTAACACCAGACACAGATGAAGACCTAGCTAGCCAGTAACTAGCTAACACCAGACAGATGAAGACCTAGCTAGCCAGTAACTAGCTAACACCAGACAGATGAAGACCTAGCTAGCCAGTAATAGCTAACACCAGACACAGATGAAGACCTAGCTAGCCAGTAACTAGCTAACACCAGACAGATGAAGACCTAGCTAGCCAGTAACTAGCTAACACCAGACAGATGAAGACCTAGCTAGCCAGTAATAGCTAACACCAGACACAGATGAAGACCTAGCTAGCCAGTAATAGCTAACACCAGACACAGATGAAGACCTAGCTAGCCAGTAACTAGCTAACACCAGACACATGAAGACCTAGCTAGCCAGTAACTAGCTAACACCAGACAGATGAAGACCTAGCTAGCCAGTAACTAGCTAACACCAGACACATGAAGACCTAGCTAGCCAGTAACTAGCTAACACCAGACAGATGAAGACCTAGCTAGCCAGTAACTAGCTAACACCAGACAGATGAAGACCTAGCTAGCCAGTAACTAGCTAACACCAGACACCGATGAAGACCTAGCTAGCCAGTAACTAGCTAACACCAGACAGATGAAGACCTAGCTAGCCAGTAACTAGCTAACACCAGACAGATGAAGACCTAGCTAGCCAGTAACTAGCTAACACCAGACACCGATGAAGACCTAGCTAGCCAGTAACTAGCTAACACCAGACAGATGAAGACCTAGCTAGCCAGTAACTAGCTAACACCAGACAGATGAAGACCTAGCTAGCCAGTAACTAGCTAACACCAGACACAGATGAAGACCTAGCTAGCCAGTAACTAGCTAACACCAGACAGATGAAGACCTAGCTAGCCAGTAACTAGCTAACACCAGACAGATGAAGACCTAGCTAGCCAGTAACTAGCTAACACCAGACAGATAAAGACCTAGCTAACACCAGACACAGATGAAAGGGGAAACATAAGTATATTTGCCATAGATGAATAGGGTAAACTTATAATTATATTTGCTGACACCCTACAGTCAAATGTTGGCATCAGTAGAGTAGCTATCTAGCTATATAAACCACACCCCTCTGCAAACACACCTTCTCCGATGTTGGTTACAAGGCAGTACTTATTTAAATTAGGTAAAATAATGTTACCATTGGTGTATTAAAATGAGAGTTAAGGTGATGTCACCTTGTCCCCTTAATAATGAATCCAAGTGTTTGACATGGGGGAGGACAGTCATTTGTAATCTCGTTTCCTTCAAATATCATCACATTTAATGAAAAACATGATTGACTGTTCATAAATATTTTTGAACCGCCCGCATCTCAGACAAATACTCACACTGTTTACACACTTAAATGGACCATGATAACCTCATAGCATTGGCCTACATAACATATTTTTGTGAGAGAGAAATATGTGTGTCGGTCTATGTGAGTGTGAGGGATTTGTGTGTGTGTGAGAAAGGCCAGCCTGCTCACCACTCACAACCACCGAGGGCCAGCCTGCTCACCACTCACAGCCACCGAGGGACAGCCTGCTCACCACTCACAGCCACCGAGGGCCAGCCTGCTCACCACTCACAGCCACCGAGGGCCAGCCTGCTCACCACTCACAGCCACCGAGGGCCAGCCTGCTCACCACTCACAACCACCGAGGGCCAGCCTGCTCACCACTCACAGCCACCGAGGGCCAGCCTGCTCACCACTCACAGCCACCGAGGGACAGCCTGCTCACCACTCACAGCCACCGAGGGCCAGCCTGCTCACCACTCACAGCCACCGAGGGCCAGCCTGCTCACCACTCACAACCACCGAGGGAGTAAACAGAGGAGAGAACATGAGAAGTTGAGAGAAATGATGGAGCAGAGGGGTAGCTATGTCTATGAGCCGGTGGAGTGTGTGTTTGTGTGTCACGCCGTGACTTCAAGGCTCTCCAAGGCTGTCTGGTGTGCTTGGGAGGGGACAGGCCAAACCCTGGTTCATTGGTTCATTTAGGAACCTGGGACTGTGTTACTGACTGACTGGTGCTTAACACAAGACCCTACCCTGGTTCCCTTCCTCTCAGCTCTGGTTTTAATAGATTACCCTGGTTCCCTTCCTCTCAGCTCTGGTTTTAATAGACTACCCTGGTTCCCTTCCTCTCAGCTCTGGTTTTAATAGATTACCCTGGTTCCCTTCCTCTCAGCTCTGGTTTTAATAGATTACCCTGGTTCCCTTCCTCTCAGCTCTGGTTTTAATAGATTACCCTGGTTCCCTTCCTCTCAGCTCTGGTTTTAATAGACTACCCTTGTTCCCTTCCTCTCAGCTCTGGTTTTAATAGATTACCCTGGTTCCCTTCCTCTCAGCTCTGGTTTTAATAGACTACCCTGGTTCCCTTCCTCTCAGCTCTGGTTTTAATAGATTACCCTGGTTCCCTTCCTCTCAGCTCTGGTTTTAATAGATTACCCTGGTTCCCTTCCTCTCAGCTCTGGTTTTAATAGATTACCCTGGTTCCCTTCCTCTCAGCTCTGGTTTTAATAGATTACCCTGGTTCCCTTCCTCTCAGCTCTGGTTTTAATAGACTACCCTGGTTCCCTTCCTCTCAGCTCTGGTTTTAATAGATTACCCTGGTTCCCTTCCTCTCAGCTCTGGTTTTAATAGATTACCCTGGTTCCCTTCCTCTCAGCTCTGGTTTTAATAGACTACCCTGGTTCTCTTCCTCTCAGCTCTGGTTAATAGATTACCCTGGTTCCCTTCCTCTCAGCTCTGGTTTTAATAGACTACCCTGGTTCCCTTCCTCTCAGCTCTGGTTTTAATAGATTACCCTGGTTCCCTTCCTCTCAGCTCTGGTTTTAATAGACTACCCTGGTTCCCTTCCTCTCAGCTCTGGTTTTAATAGACTACCCTGGTTCCCTTCCTCTCAGCTCTGGTTTTAATAGATTACCCTGGTTCCCTTCCTCTCAGCTCTGGTTTTAATAGACTACCCTGGTTCCCTTCCT